AAAGATGAAGGATATTACAAAGAGATCTGAATATTTTTAATGACTCATGGATGAAAGTGAAAACAAATTTTTCATCATTTGGGTGTTGTAAGTTGCATTAAAGGCAATGTTAAAAAAAAGGTACAGCAATTTTGGGTGGGATAAAGGAAAACAATAATGAAAAAATATTACTTAAAATAAAAATGTATTAATAAGTGCAAAATACAGCATAAAACAACTATGGCCATTAGAGAAATTGTCCTGTTGTTATATAATCCAACTGAATAACATTTATTTGTAAATATTATTTTTAATAAGAAGAAATATTAAAACATCAAAGCCACAAAGTAAAGGTGCTATTTTGAAAATACAAATTTTTAATTTCAATAAATTATACTTTAAATTAATAAATGAAAAAAATCTACATTTGCTATACTGAACATAAGACAAAAAAAAAAAAAAATCAGTTCTAAAGTATAGTTTTTACCCAATAAGCCAGTGGTTGCCGAAGTGTGGGTCGAAGAATTATCAGAATTACTGTATTTTACTAGAATGAGCATATTTTATCCGTAACCTACATAAGATTAAAGTTGCAGTAGATTTTCTGCCTAAATGCTAACGCATAATATCTTTCAAGTACAATCCCTCCCCTGTTGTCTAAAGCCATGGCAAATCACAATTGCGCACATTAAAGATGACAGAGACCCACTAGATCATGTCATTCACCTTTAAGGAAAACTTTATAGTAGTTTATAATACTACAATTCCCAACGAAAAACTATTATATCTAGCACTTTTTCAGTTATGTAGTTAGCAGACAAAACTTGTCATCTCTCTCTCATCAGTCTCACTCTCTCACTTGCTTTTTACGAAATACTATTGAAGTACTATTGGAATGTGAAAAGAAAAATGTTTCTGAAAGCAATCACCTACTGTACCTTTAATAGTTACATTAAAAAAACAAAAAAAAAAAAACAAACATGCTATCTTTTCCATTGGATTACGACCCCAGGGGTCATTATGTTAGAAAAAAAGACACAGCAATAGGGTCAGCTTTAGCAGATTGATTTCATGGCACAAGGTTAAACTTTCTGACATCTTTACGGATCTCACAAAGATTAAAAATAAATTCAGGCCACAGCTAAACATGCAGGATGATCTCTGCGTGATGTTGTCCAAAACTTAAATGAAGACAAACAATAAACAAAATCTTCCAACGAAATCATCCCAAAGAATAAACTTACCCAAATGCAGTACTAATAAATACTTACGACTTACATCTAAACTTCGGACATAAGCAATCGGCTCATAATCAAATATCCCCCTAACTAACCCACATTTCCCACTAACTAAACTTACCTAACTCTTCTGTGTTTTCCCAAGAGTCAAGCCTCTTTAAGCAGCTAATACCGCTGGTGCACAGCTGAACTGTCGGCTCAGAAATGCAACCACGGCCGTGCACTTAACCCAGGAAAACACCAAAAAATAAAAAAAACAATAACCTATCCGGGGATCTTCAAAACATATTATGAGCCGAACTTACCTGTCCGAAGCCAAACGAACACTCTGCTCTGCCAAAACATGCACCTGATTCTCCTTAACAATTACCGGTCCGCATGCCTCTCAATAAGTCGAGCCCCCATATGTTACAACCGGCTCAAAGTTGCAACATTAGAGAGACAATACGGACCAGGTAAATTGAAAAGAGAAATGATTTATTAACAAAACGTATAATTAACAAAAGCATTTTAAGCAATCAAAGTCAGTATAGGTGAAAGTCAGTAGTGAAAAGCATGTGTATGGAAGTGTACAACAACTAAAACAAATCAAAAGCGCCAAGAAGAGACGTCCGGCTAATCGAGCTCTCCTAGACAGAATGCCGGACTCCTTATAAAACACCCCACGATGAGTCTCAGGTGGGATGACCCACCCACCAATCTGCAATCATGCATGCAGGCTCTGCAAAAATCACACAAAAAACACACACATACAAACAGGTCCCACATGGGACCTAACAATAGACTTGGGTCTATTTGATGTGTGTGCACCGTTGTGTATAAGTTTTGTGTATTTATAACTTGTTATTTTATGGGTCGCGGGCTGAAAAGTTTGGGGACCCCTGCATTAAGCTGCTCATTACTGCTAGTAACAATTGTGGTAATGTTAAGGTATGGGTTGGGTTACGAGATCTAGAATATGAGCATGGAGAATAAGTCGTTTACATAAGCAATAAGTACTAATAAACAGCCAACATGCTAGCAATGCACTTGTAACCTAACATAAAAAAGGTTCAGAAGATTTATTTATAAGTTAAGTAATTAAGTTTTGTTGATTTTAAAAGTTACACATTGCAGCATTAAGAAACATGCTCTGTAGTTAATTCTACTGTTGTAAATTACATATGAAAGACTGAAGTACAGAGACTGTGGCTTTAATAACAAGATGCTGGGTTTGGCTGGTGTACTTGTTTTAATGAAATAATGTTGCATCCTGGAGTTTTCTGTAAGTGAAAGGTAGTATGAAAGTAAATAAATGCATTCCACGCAGCAAGTAATAAAATAAGTTTAGGCATGTCCCCTTTCTGACCTGCACTGGCATATGCGTCTCTCACATGGATCCTGCTCCATAATGTACGAATTCAATTACAGACTCTATTTTAAATTCAATTTCATGTCACAGCTGAAGTTCTCACATTAGGCACATCACACTTAATTAGGTTTCTTCACTTTGTGCAATGCCGATTAACATCAAGTATTACTTTCTGGCTGCCAGCTCAGTCTGAGCTACACGTCGAGTTAAAGCATGAATCAAACTGTCTTTCTTGAGCTACAGATATTTCTTTTTTCACGTGCAGTCTTTACTCTAAATTCATTCATTCATCCATTCTGAACTACCCTAATTCATTGAAATGTGCCATATATGGGACATGTTTAAAGGCGTACTGTAATCATCGATTGAATATAAGTATCATGCTTTGTGATGGATCAAAAAAATGTGGTACCTGTGAATCTAGGGAAAAATCCTAAATGTCAGCCTAAACAGTCCAGGCTACAAAACTCATTTCAAAAAGTTCATTTTGTTTTTGACCTGTTTGTTTTTAGTGCCAGTATTTTAGATTGATTTCATCAAACTTTCACGTTTCCAGAATATTTTGCTGTATGAATTTCTGAACATTGTGTCCACCAGAAGTAAAAAAAAATAAATTCTTGTTTATTTTTCTTTCAAATGACTTGAACAACTTTATGTTCTTGCATGTAAAAGCACGTTCTCACACGAATGAGCAAATAAAGTGTGGGAAGTGCTTGATGTTAAGAGGAGTTGTCAAGTGCAATAAGCAATGAAAATAAAATGTCAATGCATTGCTCACACTGAAACACACGTAGCACACATCATGCCATCATGAATTCAGTAGTCTATGTATTGCGCTTGAGCCATCATACATACATCTGTACACAAACAGTATACATTCATTCATTCATTTTCTTTTCGGCTTAGTCCCTTTATTAATCAGGGGTCGCCACAGCGAAATGAACCGCCAACTATCCAGCCTATGTTTTACGAAGCGGAAGTTCTTCCAACTGCAACCCATCACTGGGAAACACCCATACACTCTCATTCACACACATACACAACAGACAATTTTAGCTGACCCAATTCACCTACAGCGCATGTTTTTGGATTAGTGGGGGAAATCAGAGCAACCCGAGGAAATCCACATGATCACAGGAGATCATGCAAACTCCACACACAAATGCCAACTGACCCAGCCAAGGCTCAAACCAGCGGCTTTCTTTCTTCCGCACAGCCACATACAGTATAATTATTTTTAAATATTTGTTTTATTCGTAGTAATATTAGTACAGTAGTAAGCACAGTCAGTTCAGTAGTGAGAACCATCATTTATGTCATTATGAGGAATTCTGATGTGGAATATTATGTTGGATCCGTGCATTAGGTCTTTATATAATTAACATACTATATCATAAATGTTGAACAACAACAACTAAATTTGCATCTCTATTGTTGTTTGTCAGTTTGTGATTTTTAATTTACAGTACTTAACATTTAAAGTGGATTACAACCTTTCATCAAAGTTGTCCTAAAACTATTCAACAACACCCAGTCTCATCTTAGGACAATTTTGAAAAACGTTTTTGATCCACTTCAAGTGTTGACTACTGTAGTAATTACTATTAAAAGTGTATTATTGTAATTAATAGACTTAATAATATATTGTTATACATTCATTTTTAATTACGCAATTGGAGAAAGACTTGGAGAAATTGTTCATGATCAAATCACTGCCCTCTGAATCGTAATCTAATTCTATCATGAAGCAAGTGAAGATGCACACCTCTAGTTAGTAGGGATGTTTGTACTAGCAGGTCACGCTCGGGACCAGGACTATGCAATTTTGGGAAAAATATCTGATTGTGAGTTTTTTACAAATATTTTGGACAAATACTGTGATAGCGTTTTGATTTGCAATTAAATTTTGTTTGCATATGTTGACTGCTATTTAAAAAACTTTCAAACCCCAGGGTTATGAATAATTTTGTGTTTGTATCCATATTCATATCAAAGCCTTTGAGATTTAGCTAATTGGAACGTTTCAGTGATTCAACGGTCATTGTGATTGTGATTGATTCTATTTTGATTAACCTTTCAGCCCTACTCCAGCCATATTTTGCACTAACTGGAGAATTACAGAATCAAACAATCAGCTGGTTTATTTTCCATGTGCAGTGTTTCCCCTGCACTCTCTCAGCATTGTGAGTAATAGCGGGCCGGTTATGTAAGGAAGAGGCAGTGCGAAATGAACAGGTGGCTCAAGCTCTCCTCAGCGCAGACTTTTATCATACCTCCTCCCCACAATGTGTGCCTTTGGCCTCCTCTTCCCAATAAAAGGCAAAGTTCCAGTTGGTCGCGAAACAATTAGAAAAGGTTCTAGACCGCCAACATAGCTTTGTCAAAATGTCAGCGAATTAAGTGGCTTAATTTTTTCTCTTTTGTTTCAACAGACAATCCATCCAAGTCGACCCACAGGCCAAAACTGCAACATTCCCAGCAACAGCAGCAGGGAGCGAAGACAAGTTCGGCCTCTCGCTGCAGACCAGCACAATCGTCCCAGTGAAGTTTGCAGCAACGGTGGAGGGAGGAGTGCACAATCTGTGTCTGAAATACCCGGGCCTCGAAAGACCGATCATCAAGGCCCATCTCAAATCCCTCGTGCGGTGGCTGGCAGCAGCGTGAGCCTTCCTAGCAAAGGCAGTCCGTCTCGCAGCCTGTCCTCAGACAGCGAAAGGGGCCCACGCAGCGAACGAGGGCCTATTCCTAGGCTTCAATCTTCCTTCACCGGCCGTCTCGGTCAACCGCCCCGTGGGCCTCTGTCTTTACACATGTACAGGCGAAATAACGTCTTCCTACAGCACTCGCTCCACACGGCCGAACTGCAGGCTCTTGCTCAGCAGGACGGTTGAAGTCACATCCTAAAACACTAACACGTGTCTCAGACGGTGCAGTTCCTCAGCGACCGCCAGTACCTTCAGACCCACAACCCAGGCTCTCAAACCTCAACCGCACACAGAGACTCTTTTTATCCTATGTGGAGTTAAACTTGTCAGCTCTATTAAGTGTCAAAACCCAATTCGCCGTCTGCACTAAACTTAAGCCTTTTGAAGAAATATAGGATATGCTGCTCAAATAAGTACTTTAGATTGACAGCCCAGCAATGTGAGAGCTTCAAGACAACACTATCTCAATGTACAGTTCTGCTGAATATTCGTTATTTTTCTTTGCTTATTTCATTGAAAGAAATCTAGGGTCCAACATTAACACTTACCTGGCTGCTGATTTAAAAGGTAAAATGTGATTATTTAAAGCTGGTGGCAGGTAACTATATTTGGGAACTTTAACATTTAATGATTTGAGTTGAATTTCTGGTTATATATTGTTCAAAAGTTTAGGGTTAGGATTTTGTTTGCTTATTTATTTATTTATTTTGAAAGAAGATTTTTAAGCTTACTAACTCTAAATTTATATGTTTAAATAAGTGATAGATGGAGATAATTTTTGTGTAAAAAGCATAATTAATAAATAATGCAATTATAAAATCTTAAATACAATTATGATAATTTATTAAATTATTACTCCTGTGTTTAATGACACATGATTCTTCTGAAACCATTGTAATTTGCTGATTTATTACTCAATTAAATTGATGCATTGTTATTAAACAAATTATTCAAAATAAGATGAATTTGAAATAATAATACATATGTATGTTCTGTCCCATTTGATCAATCATTAATGCATCCTTGCTCCTAAAAAGTAGTTTTTGAAAGTAGTTTCATCCGACCCCAAACTTTTGAACTTTATATGTAGTACAGCCACCATAATCAAAATATGATGAACAAAATCATGTTTCTGTAGAAGATGTGGGAAACTGGCACATCTGAATGATAGAAAAAAGGGCTAAACGTCAGCCAAAACATAAAAACAAAAAAATAATTTAGCTTCATGGCCAGTACAAAATGTCTAGCCAATATTTTTCTTCAATTCTCCCACCATTAATAAGTGTGCCAAAAAAGTTAATTTTGGACTTTATTAAACTCTTATTAAGCAAAATATGCAAAAAGCATTTCTACTCTTTAAGTCTTAACCTACTTGATTGTTGATTGTTAGATTAAACCCAATCTGTAGTGATAATTATAATAGCAGGTCACACAAACCGCTCTGATCATTGCTTTTTTCACCAGCAACCATGACACTGAAGACGCGTGCGGATATTGCCAAATCAATCCTCAGTCGAAGAGAGGGCGTTGAAGCCTTTGCTGAGTATTACCCACATGTTGTCAGACCTCTTTTAGGGAGTTTAACACTCATTACCCTTTTCTAATTGCAAGCTACTCTTGCTCTCTTTTTTCCACATTCTTTTTGCTGCAAACAAAAAATGAAAGCTAAAGACGTTTTCTGCACTGAATTTAAGCTAAATGGATTTGACAACTCTTGTGGAAGGATTCAGCAAGAGCCTGGAGTTGAATCTCAAAACAGCTGGACTGCAAGGAAGAAATGCCCGTCATTAGTTAAAGAAGTAGAAACCTCCATGCAGATAAATGAACTTCATTATTACATTTGACATTGGAAATACTTCACATTTTCATTTCAAAATAGATGGCAACTAAATTTAATTAAACATGCCGATAACTTCAGCAAATGTAAAACTGCCATAGACGCACTCTTAAAAGAGAGGCTTGGAATGAGGATTGGCCTCGTTTTGGCAGCATTGGGAACGACGTTGGTGTAACTTTACAGCGTTGACCCGGCTTTGCGGATCAGGAGCTCAAGCAAGGACGCATGGAGGAGAAGGAAACCCTGAAGAAACGCAGTCCCATCCATCCAGCAGGTCTGCTCCCTAAGGTCCACTGCTCCAATTTCAGCAATCTGTTGGGAGCGCCATCACTTCTTCCTCTTTCTCTCTCTCTTTCTATCTCGATCTCCTTCTCCCTTCCAGACCTACTTCCAGCTCTCTGTGTGATCGGGCTCAGGGAGAGAAAGGCTTTAGCGCTGTCTCACCAATACACACTCCAGGACCGAAATCACACTTTCTAAACGCTGATGTGTTTATCTTGTAGTCAGGGAGCAAATTAAAATCTCATAAACCGTGTATGTAAATATATAGGAGACTGATTAATAGGGTTCATTAATCAATATGAAAAGGATGATGGAAAGGTATGTAATTAATTATTAATGAATTTTAATATTAACGTATACACTTAAAATTATTTATGTTATTATTAGCATGTATCTTTTGGTCTATTGAAATGCTTGATTCTGATTGGCTAAAAGGTAAAATCGCTTAATGCACAGGTAGATCCAGTCAGTTTTCATCACAGTTTGAAATAAATGCTTCTCCCCCAAACATTAGTAACCATCGTAATGCAGTGACAAATGCCACAGTCTTCATTCCTCTGTGCAATCTTGGGGACACCGATGTGTGCTTCACTAGGGAGCCAATAGGATTAAACAACACTTGGGAAGCGGTAGCTAATACATGTTACGTTGAGCTATTAGATATGCCCCTGTTATTTACATGCACACACATTATCTCTAGCAGGGACTAGAAGATCTAGCAATTCAACAATGACTAAAATTTGGTCTAATATTGCACTGCAAATGCGGTTTTAAATTGAATTTGGCAAATTACCACAGAATAAAAACCCTGGCTAATTTTTATAAAAAGTATTATTCTATTTTATTTATTACATCTATAAAGTGTGTATGTATGATGGATAATCAGTGGATTACAGTGTTTTAACGGATTTTATCTGCTTGTCTCCCTTAATAACATGGCTCTCTGGAATACTTGATTCTGATTGGCCAGTCGTATCAATACAAAGCATGTTATTCCCAGATAACAACTGTTGAACCACCGGTAGGAGTGAGCGAATAACAATTGCTGAACAAATAACACACATGTTCATTGGGGTACTTGACCTTCAGTTAATACATTCGCATCCATATGCTTGTAATAAAGCCCTTCAGGCTCTTAAAATAGCCCTCCACTTTGCAATGGGCTGCTGATAACAATGTCAAGTGGCAAGGCATCGATTATCTCTACTTATACATACACACATAATATGTCATATAAAAAACACCTTCTAGAAAAAAATACCCAGGGTTTTTAATACAAATAATACCAAGAGCCCATAGTCATAGTTGTATTTGTATGGTAAACGCAAAAGAAGTCATGATTCTGCTAAGCTAACAATAGGTTAATTGTGTTATTTGTACTAAAACTGCGGTAATTCATAGATAAAATTCACACTACAATACAATAATGTAAATTCTGTAATATTTAAACAGGAGACTAGGAATGACATTTCTTCCAAATTTAAATGAAAACAATATAATTTACACCTTTAAGGGTATGATATTACACCTAAGTGTATACATTAATATTAAAATGTGTATGAATAATATATGAAACCAGTGTAAAAAAAAATAAAAAATATATAAATAGTAAGTAAATTACATATTTTTTCTAAATAAATGATAATAAATGCAATAAATGTGCAATAAATCCATCCTTTGTGCACAGAAAGCTTCATTTTTGGATCGTGTTTATGGTATTCGTGAATGACCTCTGAAGAGTAGACTGCTGTTAGACAGCCAATTTGAGACAATTCAGCCCTTGATGATAACTGTGGTCAGCAATACTGTTTAAATTGTGTGCGGGCGCCTGTTCATCACTGGCAAATGTTAAACATGTTCCTTCAGGCAGGAATTGTCCTTGTTCCTTCCTGAGCCTCCCTCGTGTCTGTGACACACGTTTGAGCCATGACGCTTGAAGGACGGACGCTTAAATGGACTTGAATATGCGAGAACATGAGTGAAGTCTGTACAAGAGCGCAGACTCTATCGTTAACATGACTACACGTGCCGTCAAATTTCTTTCAATGTTCATTAGATATTTATTTTGGCCTTATTTATTATGTGACATTGTGCAATGACTATCACCTTAGGCTTTTTATTTGTCTGTCTGGACTATTTTTATCAATGCGTATGTAATTTGACTTTATGGATACTGATGATTTGCGGAAATCGTAAATTGTCTGTTATATCATGTTGGATTTTTTCTCCTATGTACAGGGTTCGCATAAAAATGGCACTTTTAAGAGATTTAAATCATAATAAGATTTGAAATAACCTTTATCTGTATCTTTTCTCTCACTGGTGGTTTTCATTTAATGTTCTGATTTTCACAGAATGTAATATATCCATTCATTAAAGACAGCGATGTTAAAAATCGGTGTTTAAGCTGTAATTTATGTTATTTGAATGATATTTTTCACATTTAAGCTTTCACTGTACACCCACTTCTTGTTATTCAACATGTAACCAACTTGTAATGTTTACAATCATCATCTCTGGAAACTAGGAAGGAAAATATCATTGCTTTGATGGCCTGCGGCGGTTTAAAGCGAGCCCTTTGTCTGGCCTGTCCTTGCTTCTCAGTGAAAAGGTAAAAATGGATGTCATTCTTCTCAAACCTTCCTTTGGAAATTGCTTATTGTGTTTGCTTTAGTGTATTGCATCAGATTACATGGCTGGCTCAAAAGCCTGTGTGAACTTTATACGCTCTCTGTCTAAATCACTGCCTTGCTCTGATTTTTGCTCAGGCTTCAGCTGTCCAGGATTCACAGCGCATATCATTGCTCCTCTTAGTCATCCACAACAAGTTTTCTCCTGCTAAATGGAGGGCAAAGGGAGACCGTCAACTTGTGGGTAAAAGTAATTACACAGCGAGGATGACCGGTGCCGCAGAACTTTGGGATTGATGAGTGTTTGTTGTGTTGATGCAGGTTCATTTTTCTGTCGCTGCTCATCTATCGGTATGAATTTGATGCGGTTATGTACAACATCTGCGTGAGAAATCTTCCAGATTCTTTTCCGAAATGGTCTGCTAGGGTTCATTTCCATTTTTTTTCCTGTAAGTATTCAAAATGTTACTTTGTGGTTGGTCAGTTTATTACTCTATTAGTTCTATGAATGAAAATATGGAAAGCAATATATTCACCCTCATCCCCATCCAAGATTTAGGTGACTTCATTCTTCTGTAGAACTTTAAAGACGAGTTTTAGCTGGAAACTGTGGTCAATGTCAGTGTTTTTTGGCCTTTTCAGTGTCCAAAATAATATACAGGCAAAATAAATATGCAAAACTATCAGGCTGTGCGAGAAACTGAACATTATTTACAGTATTATATTGTCTTTAATCCACATCCTTTAGCAAATCTTTTATATCAATAGAAATTAATCATTTATTCTCCTCAATGTGGTTTTAAACTTTGAGTTTCTTCCCTCTGTTAAACACAAAATAAGATGTTGGTTGCTTGAACCCACTGACATCCATAGTAGATCAAAATATACAGTAGGAAGTTAATGAGTCCCAACGTTCTTCAAAATATGTTCCTTTGTGAAACACAAATAGGTTTTGAACAAGTAAATCTTTGGGTGAAGCATCCATTGAATGACCCTATGGAGTGTGAGCCTCCTATTGCATAATCATGTCAAATGTCGGGGTCTTGTACAGTAAATAATTCTTTTGTACAGGCTGAAGCATCCAGGATAAGCACATGTACCATTTTGATAAACAATACAACACACACATGCTCCCTGTGTACTGTAAAGAAAGAGTGTTAACTATGTTTTAGCTTGTGCCAGCACATACAGTATGTCATTATAGGACAGGAAGTTCACACTTCAAACTGTTGTAAACGCACTCAGAACCATTTGTTGAGGCTGTGGATTAAGGAGAATCATTTATTCATTCATTCATTTTTTTTTTCGGCTTAGTCCCTTTATTAATCATGTGGTCGCTACAGCGGAATGAACTGCCAACTTATCCAGTATATGTTTTACGCAGTGGATGTCCTTCCAGCTGCAACCCATCACTGGGAAACATCCATACATGCTCATTTGCACACATACACTACAGACAATTTAGCTTACCCAATTAACTTATACCACATGTTTTTTGGACTTGTGGGGGAAACTGGAGCACCCAGAGGAAACCCAAACGAACACGGGGAGTACATGCAAACTCCACACAGAAATGTGTGCCCCTTAGGGAGAATAATGTAAAGTATGGTCAGGTTCTAGCACAGAGTGATTTATAGTTTTGCTTCATGAGTGTATGGTCAGGAGCTATAGGTGTTCATTTTTCTTTTGACTTGGTTTGCTGGTTGACTTGCATTTGTGTGGGTCAGCTTCAAATATGTTTTCATATTATATTATAGATAAAAAGTCGCTAACACCTGGACTGAGGGTGAGTAAATAAAAAGCTAATTTTTATATTGTGATTGTGTGTTTATAAAATAAAATGTTTTGTTACCAAACCCTGTGCACGTTTGTAGCGTGTTCAAACTACTTATTTAAAATGAGTGGAAACAATTTGGAAAACCTAATTGTTTTATGTTTAATCCACTTAAATTTGTAAAAAAAATAAATAAAAAAAGATTACATTTACATTTTACATTTAGTCATTTAGCAGACGCTTTTATCCAAAGCGAGGAACAATTTACACAACTATAAGAGCAACAATGAATAAGTGCTATAGATTAGATTAAATAACTCAATCAGTTTTAGTTGGAACAACATGAAGTTATTGTGTGTAACCCAGTATATTTTACAGTGTTTAGTAGTGTAGTTTAAGGCTTTATTAATCTTCTATTATTAATGTGGTGGTGCTTCACATAGCAAGAATGACACACTTAACACAATAAATACCAACACTTAATATTGAGTACACAAACAAAAACGGAAGAAAAGAATATATAATTTATAAGAAAAACAAATAGTTAAAACAATTATATTAGATAAGCGAATTACTTCAGGCACAAAAGTAAATTAAAAAGGATTTGTCGATCACCTTATTGTCCTTAGACATTACCCAAAGGGGCATCTGCTCAAAATCTGTTTAAGGGGCGTGTGCTATTTAGTATTATTTTCAATTATTTTAAATAACCCAGTTGTTGGTAAGCTGGTTGGAAATTTTAACAAAATAACTTCATGTTTAGCGTTAGCAAAGTTTTTGGGCTGAAGGGTTGATTTTGAGCATTGCCATGACTGCTTATGCTACTCCCAGTGGAGACTTTCACATGCACACACAAAAAATGTTGAATTGTCTTTTGTTACTAAAATGTTTTGTTTTCTGTATTATAATAAAATTATATTTACAATACACGATGGCGCAGTGGGTATCACTGTCACCTTACAGCAAGAAGGTCGAGGATGTGTTGGTTAAGCTAAATTGTCCGTAGTGTATGTGTGCGAATGAGAGTATGGGTGCTTCCTGAAAGAGCATCCACTGCATAAAACATGCTGGATAAGTTGGTGGTTCATTCCGCTGTGGTGACCTCATTAATAAAGGGACTAAGCCAAAAAGAAAATGAATGAATATAATTATAGCAGCATTGAATTATCAATTAATATTGATAATATCTTGAAATTAGAATTGAGATTTAAATAGTTACATAAACATTTGCTTTAATATTCAAAACATTTAAGCTGTTTGTAAACCTAAGCCTAAAAATAAGTTGAGTGATTTGTATTGATATAACGAGACTTGATTTAAATTGCTAACGTTCGAGGTTACAGAAGTAACCCTTCGTTCCCCGAGGAGGGGAACGGAAGTGCCATAGAGTGGATTGATTGAAATCCACGAAATGGGAGGATTCGGATCAGAAGCCGCTTGTCTGGAGAGTATTGAACGGGCCAATGAATGAAAATGAATTGGCAGCGTAAGCTTGCGCAGGTGTGCTGCATCGCCAATTATCCCAGCATATAAGCACACCTGAAGCGAGCAAACGCCATCCTTTTAAGCTGAAGAGACTTTGAAACAGCTAAGGGACAGTCATTATGGCGAAGGAGTATGGCACTTCCGTTCCCCTCCTCGGGGAACGAAGGGTTACTTCTGTAACCTCGAACGTTCCCCTTCGGTTGGGGAACTTCAGTGCCATAGAGTGGATTGATTGAAATCCATGAAATGGGAGAAGTATGGAAAGCGCCATAATGACTGCACCTTACCAACGCCCCCGATGAGGGGATAGTCAAGCAAGCGTGACGCACCCACATCATGGGAGGCGCGGTCCTCCAACGTGTCCCTGGTCTTAATTTATCCTACTTCAACAGAAGTCTTACGGATTTAGATATATTTTTTGGGAAGTCGTGAGCATCTAGATAACTCTAGGAATACGACAGTACGTTGGGAAGCGTGCAGTCCCGATAGGGAGGATGCTGCGGAGGCCATCCGTTACCCAAGGGGGGATAGATGGCAGTACTTACATATGGACTAGCCCTAAAAAGGGGGAGTACGCATAGCAAAAGAGTGGTTAGCAGAGAGGGAAGACACGGGTCCGCCCAGGGGGGTGACTTAACCGTGGCGGAATAAGCATATGGGATCGCCTAGTGGGGATCACGCATAGCAGGCACCTATACCCAAAACGCAGGCTGACCAGCGGGCAGACCTACAACGTAGTGGGCCAGCAAGTGACTCCTCCGCTGAGTCAGTGCTGGGGGCCACGGAGGAATCTGCAGGGCTCACCTGACGGGGAACTTTACTGACAGATAAAAGGGCGCACGTATCTCCGTGTTAGGGAAAATGGCGCAGCAAGCGTGTCACAACACCCTACCGAGTTGTTTCCTCAATCACCAAAGGGTTACCTAACACCCTTGAGGAAACCGGCTCCACTCGCAGATTGTAAAATCTTGCAAATGTGTTGGGTGTCGCCCAGCCAGCAGCTCTACAGATGTCTGTTAGAGAGGCGCCGCGTGCACGCGCCCAGGAGGATGCAACGCTCCGAGTGGAGTGTGCACGCACTCCCGGGGGACACGGCTGACCTCAACTCGAATAAGCGAGTGAAATGGCATCCACAATCCAGTGGGATAATCTTTGTTTCGATACGGCACTTCCCTGCTGCCGACCACCATAACAGACAAAGAGCTGCTCAGATGATCTAAAATTCTGAGTACGGTCCACATAAATGGACAAAGTAAAGAAAGGGCTGGGTCTGCCTCCTCCGGGGGCAGCGCTTGCAGGTTCACTACCTGATCTCTAAAGGGGGTGGTAGGAACCTTGGGCACATAACCCGGGCGGGGTCTCAGGATGACGTGAGAGTAATCCAGCCCGAATTCCAGGCACGAGTCACTGACTGAAAATGCCTCCAGGTCCCCGACCCTCTTGATGGAGGCCAACACAACCAGCAGAGCTGTCTTCAGGGACAGAAATCTTAGAGATACTGATTCGAG